CAAAAAAAAAAAAAAAAAAAAGGGGGGGGGGGGGTTATCTCCCATCATAAGGACAACTATTAATGGATTCCAGGCTAGGATGGGGACATAGACTGTTCTCTACCGCTATTGTCAATGCAGCCGCTTGTTGCTGAGGGAAAAAAATGCTTCAGTTAAAATAATGTTGACAATAGGGGATAAAAAAAAATCTTTCATCCAGTGCTTAAAAGAACTTCAATATAATCTATAATCATATTTGACATGTGTATAAGAAGCAGTTGTCTTATCCCATGGATTAATATGACAACTAAAAAGATGTTAAAGGGATTTCAACACAGGAATCTAAATAGTGTATAATGCACACAGTATGCAGAAGCATCTCCTATTGATCCATTTAGTTTAAAACCCATATTTTCAAAATAAAAAAATAAAGTACTTCCAAAGGTAAATTGACCAAAGGTATGTAGTTTACACTAATCCGGATAAATGTATTAAAAAATAAAACTCAGATAAAAAAAAAAATAAATAAAAAAACACCTCAAGGTGTAATAATAATAATAAAAAAATCTTCTAGTGAACATAAATAGGTGAACAACCTTATTCATGCCAAACAGGAATAAGTACAGATCTAGAAAAGTGAATAAATATACTTTAAAGTGTTTGTTGTGCATCTCCGCCTCCAACATGTCCTACTTTGTCTCACATGTTTTTATGATTATGTAATGATGTGTTTTGTGTTTAATTTAGCTTTTAATGCCATCATCCGAATGATAGCGGACAATTAGCCCGTGTAGCTAAATTTAGTACATAAACTGAAGTAATCAAGATCATTTGTATCTCGTTGTAAATAAAAAAAAAAGGAAAGTGACACAAAAACTCACCTAAATATCTGTATTTGTCAGGGAACAAACAAAAACCCACTCAGCTTTTTTATTTAATTTAATGAAGACCCTTATTTAAATACTGAACAAACATGTTGGCAATCTGTGACGTGTTCTCCGTCGGGTGCATCTTGCTGTAACTGATGAACTGGCGCCGTAGTTTTCTCAGCTCTGCCATGTTGACGCTCCTGGTCAGTGCCACGTTTTATTTCAAGTTAAGGAAGTTATTTAGAGAGCCAGTCACATGCTGCAAAATGTTACCGACATAATGAGGAACTTAAATCATGCGCCTGTCACCGAAGGCAGACCAACACAGAGCTTTTAGATCAGCTCCTGATTGGATGAACATGTTCAAAGGAGAAAAATTAATCAAAGCGCTTGCTTCTGGGAAATGAGTGAGGCAGTGAGGCCACCGGGAGGTTTGGTTGCTTTCTACTAGGTGCATCTCTCAGCATTTTATTACAGAGGAGACCTTTAGCTTTGCCTGGCTGCTCTGCCTTCCGTTCAGGAGTGTTTATGGAGGTCTTTGATGACGAGACCTTTACCTCCCATCTGCAGGCAAATAAGACTTCCTACATCAGATGAGAACTGAATCCAGCAGCCATAAATGTGTGATTAAGCTTACCTTGAACTGCAAACGTCATAAAGACAACATAGTTAATATATCATCCTTAATTTGCAAAGTAAAGGATATCTTTTCTGTAGCTCCTGGAACTGGAATAAGGTCCCCAGGAACACTCGTCTTCTGGGCGTTAAAAATAGCCTGAAAGATTGAAAAGTCTTTTATTTAAAAAATAAATAAATAAATAATACTTATATAATATAAATAATGGGGAGAAGCTTAATACAAAAGGAGCATCTGCAAAAACAATTTCTAATTGCATTTAGCAAATAACACAAAATATGTTTTTTTTTATTATGCAACACCAATTAGAGATAAAAATGACAGATAATTGTGTCCATTAATTTGGTTTAGTGCTTAATATCTACAAAATACTCTCAGATATCAAGCGAATGTTCAGTACTCTACTTATTTCTGCTTCTGAATCATTATAAATTCTCACATCTATAATGTGCAATGGTATGTTTTGTATTTTATGAACCCACTCAACCTTACTCTTAAGGTTAATGTAAACGGAATTAGGTTCCTCTATTCTTCATGGCAAATAATCAAATACAGACAATACAAATACTGGACATCAGGGTTTTAAAAAGCTGCATTAAAGGGGCGGAGCACAATTTCCATAGAGTGTTTCCAGTAAGTCCACCCCCACAGAGGACAAGTTGAAATGACGCCAGTGATGTGCACAGCCATGGGAGACGGGAAAAACGCTTTTTTTGTTTAGATGCGTAACGTCTTTTTAGGGGAGAAAGTTATAAATACTGAGGTAATTTATTTTAAAAAGAACCTTTTGATATTTCAGGGCTAACTTATGGTCCATTTTCATTCCCAGGGCTGATCAGTCCTAACTTCAATTAACAGCCCAAAATATTTACTCTAGTCTTATTCCACCACCTATCATACCCTAATTTAGCTCTTTTTTGTTTACTGACACAACCTTCTGTGAAGTCTTTCATGGGTTTTGAGGTGCACATGTTGCTGGTCTTTAATGATTTATCTTTAGAATCACCCATGTTTTCTAACCAGTGTGTCAATGGCAGTAGAGACTTTAACAAAGCAGCAAGAAAACAAACTAATGGAGGAAACCTTGTCTTACCTCTCTGGGAACAAAAACAAAACAACAAATGGACAGTTGTTATATTTCCCATTAACAATCACAGAGGAAGTGAGTGCAAGAAAATATCAGACTGAAAAAGAAATCAAACGCTACAGGAGGGCTCACCATTAAGACATCCTGAGTGGTTTTGTCCAATTCGTACAGGAAGTTTGTTGAGGAGAGGGGTTGCTGTGGTGAAAAGGAAAGGAAACGTGCATTGTTACTTTTAGATAATTGTTTAACAGTAAACTAATTATTGCACAGAACACGGCTTTTGGTAATCTCTTACACTTTGGGTAGACTGGTTTGGTGGGGGGGCTTTCCTTTTAAAAAGTGCATCAGAAATGTCGTCTAGAGGTAGTATGTCATCTTTGAGGACTGTGAAAAGAGGGCTGTCCCATCTGTTCCTGGAGTCTGGTGCTTCAAACCTTTTAACTAATGCGTCAAATCTTTAAAACAAAAGGAAATTTAACTTTAATTGAACAGACTAACCATCAAAAGGGTTTTAAATCATGCTAACCCACATGTCCTGGCCGTATTGCTCTGCAGATTCTCTATTTCTGTTCCACAGCGAGCTTTCCTCCCCCGATGTCAAACAGTGCACCTTCATCAAAACACACCAAAGATCAGTCAACATTTGTCAGAATAATCCAAACAGATTTGGATTATTGTTTTCCCTTCATACTTACCAGGCAGTGAGGCGTCTGGGTGTGCTTGGTCAGGCAGAACAGCTCATAGCGGTAACCTGTGTGATATTTCATGAATGAGGTTACCCCAGGGTTTAAACCACTAATCAACATGCAGCTGTTAGCAGGTACCTTTGATGTAATTTAATGAGTCCAAGATTACAATGTTGTCCTTGTTTACTTTTCTGAAAAAGAAAAAAAGCCGGTAAAATGGGATTTTCTGTCTAAATGTAATAACCTGGATGTGGTGGTGATCCTACCTCTCTACTTCAGCTTTCAGAGATGCTCTGGCCTCTTTCTCCTTTTGGGAATCTGCAACAGATCATTAAGTTTGGCTTATATACATTTACAACAATTTACAAATCTTTAATATAAAGTTACATCCCTTTTTAACAATTAATAACCAATGTACTCAACCATCTATTCAGGTAGACAAAAAGTAATTAGTTTAATACTTTGTCCTAGATATTATTTGACCTATTTGCTGGACATAAAAAGAAAAAAAAAACAACAAACAGCCAAGAGTTAAATAATACAAATGGGTTAAGGGATGCTGCTTTATGAAATGTGTGTATTTGTATTTAATGTGTTAATTAAAATGATATCTGTAATCAACCGACCTAAATATTGAGAAACAAAAAAGATAAACTGATTTGCTATGAAGAAAAAAAAACCCCACAAAATATTTCCAAAAGAGCTGAAAAAGTGTGACTAAAGCCAGCCAATTTTTGCGTTTTATTAACTCCTACAGCTGCTTTTAGTTTTTTTATTAAATTTTTAGCAGCCACAGTAACCATGCAAACATCATATTTAAAAGTACTGTAAGCTGTGCCTTGAAGGTTTTTCTATTTTCTTTATATAAGTGCAGTTAGTAGGTAGACCTTCTTTTCCATCTTTTAATTTAAAAAAAAAAAAAAAATGCTATTTAGGGTAAAAAAATTCTTTTTTTTAACCTGAATCCTGATAAAATAATAAGTGTATTGAACACATTCATTATTTTAATGAATTAATAATGAACGTATTAAACACATTGGTAGAAATGAACCGATGAGATCAAAAATAATCTAGAAACTTAAATCTACATCCTATTTAGGAAATCTGATTAATTCCTTTGAGTTTATGCAACAAACTTTTTTTTATTACTTTGATTTATAATTATGGGATTAAGGGAGGAAGTTTTCTCCCCGTCTGGGAGGAGATTATAAAATAAAAGGAAAACACTCGATCAAGTGTTTACATATGGCACAGTATCCTGTTATTGGATAAAAAAAATCGCTCAGGAGAGGAAACGAGCCAAAGTATGAAGTTCTTACAGTTAATAACGTTTAAGGCGATTAGAAATGAGGTCGGAAAGTACAGTAAAAGCGAGCAGCAGCAGTGAATGGGAGGGAGCGCCACTTGCCTGCGTAAACAGAGTTCCTATCCAGGCCCAGCGCTCCGTCTCCAACACTGTAAACCTGTCGGTCTGTGCTCTTTTCAAAATGCGCCTTCAGTTCTTCTGCTCTTCTTGTTTTACCGCTACAAGGGTATCCGCACATTACCACCAGCGGCATAGCTGCTGTTTATCAGACACCAGCACGTTGCGGCTCACGGTCTTTCACCCGGAAATGAAAAGCGGCAGGCACACCGACAGGGGGCGCCAAAACACAGAAAATCCCAGTTCCATCATTCAGGCGCAAAATGGAAATAAAACACACTCATATATATAATTTATTTGCTCTTTTTATTTAAATGACAGAAATCATCCATGTTATAAATGAGGAAGGGATATTTATTTTTTTTTGACAAAATTAACACAATATATATCACATAAAATAAATAGTGGTTATATTACAGCCTTTTTTTTAAATGACAAAAATAATAAATCTGATCAATCCGTTGGTGCTTGATAGAGGCTGGCCTTCAAGCTGGATCTCCTCTCTCTCTACATAAAAAAAAGTAGAACATGAGATGTAACGATACAAGAAACGCTTAATTACACCAATAAAATAACTGTAATAAGTACATATCACTACTAATTTGAAAAAAAAAAAATCAAAATAAGAAAATACTGCTACTACCTCTAATAAACAATTATACAAATACAAAATAAAAAAATAAAAAAAAACAACCTAAATGAAGTGATATGATCATTATAGTGGTAGTACAATAATTTTTATATATAAAGATATACCGTAGTAAAAACTTAAATTTAAGGCATAATAAAAGGGAACTCTTGCAAATAAAAATAACGGTTATGACAAGAAATAAGACTAGAGATGATAAATAATAATAAACAATGAAATAATTGTGACATGATTATACTAGTAACAAAATAAAAGAGAAAATAATCATCAAAATCTTCCAAAACACCAGAAAATATTAATCAAAATACTATGATATTCAGAACATGATCTTAATAAAATAAGATTAAACTAACATGTCCAGAGTCTGTCTTCTTGTTGGTTGTGCGCCTCTCAACATCTTGGTGATCAGTGCCTGAAAATCTGCTCCGGCCACAGGACTCGCATCTCTGCCTTCAGATGGAGCGTTTATGTCTTCAAAGACAGTCTCCAGAAAGGAGCTATCCACACTCTTCTTTCCCATGAAATGCCCTAAATTCACAAAGTAAAAAATATACAGAACCCTCTTATAGAAAAACAGATAAAGAAAAAATATATTTAGCAGTTTCAATATTTCTTACCTGTTGCCCAAAGATTCCCTCTGGGATTCACCTTGAGCTTGGAAATTTTATTTTTCAGTTCAGTTAAATCGAGCATCACTGAAGTTGCCAGAGCGATATACGAGATTAGGATGAGAGAAGACACAAATCCTCCTCTGCAGATCTTTTTCATACTGCTTCTCTCTTTATTTTCCAGCTTATTTAAAATCTTTGCAGTTCTTCCAATATGAGAGCAGTGTTTTATACATGGATGGGCTGGGCTTAGTTCTCTAATAGCATTAGGTCATCTTCTGGTGGTTGTTGCTTATTGGTTGCATAGTCCTCATTTAGGTGACTTGAGCGAGTTGTGACATCACTGGAAAAACATTAGCTGTCACTTTTAAATACCAGCATCACCCCAGTAGAGAAATGTAAGGTAACAAAAACACAAAGGCGACCAGGTGTTTCATTAAATGCACCTGTTTATTTGTAATTCCTGTAAACGTAACAGTGAGGGACGCAGGCCACTGCATGCTAAACAGATGTAATGGCTTAAAGGATGCTGTGGATTCCAGGTTTCATTATATACATTTTTTAAAATTCCTTTTTGTAGGCTGTATCAAAAATACAAATGTGTTTTACAGAATGTTATAAAAAGGTAGGTTGTGAACAGGTAACCTGCTGCAGTGAGATTCTGAGCACTTTAATAGAAAAAAATTCACTCGTTTATTAAGTCAATATGACCATTAAACCTAAATATTCCCAGAATAATTAATAACATTTAAAAACATGGGAGAATGCAAGTTTTATAAAATAACTGCTAACATTGCACTGAGATTTAACTTCAACCTCTCAAAGCCTGTGGACATTTAACAATCATTGCCATTTCCTGTAGAGGTAGGAACCGTCACGGGGACGACACAAAAACAAGAAGTACTGCCGCACAAATCAAAACCTGCAGATGAACATCCTTCATAACCACTGATCCATGAGTTTTTTATCCCCTGAAATGATTCTGCATCCCATCGTGTCCCCAGGTTGGGATTTATAAAACAGTATCCTAGATGCGCCGCCGAAGTTCGCTCTAACATCTTTTCGGGATTATCCAAAACCACATAAATCATGTACCCTGATTCCAAACAACAATCACATTTGTTTGCTGGAAAAATTACACTTCTGGTGATTTTGAGGTATTTTCAATACTTCCGCAGCAAAACTGTAATGCCTCCATGTCCAACCCTTACACACACAAATACCACCCCCACTTAAAAAACAAAAAAAACAAAACACAATCTGGGATGAAAAACCACATATTTCAACATGATGAATATGATGCATCGATCAGGTCAATACTGATCCTCACAATTTAGATTTTTTTTTTTCTTTTTTGGAACAATAACAGAAAATGAAAGAGAAACAAATACTCCATTAAGTGAGTAGTTTGGATCAAAAATTAAATGAATCACAAGATAATCCTTATTTACACAAAGGTAGATGAGGAATGCACGTGTCCTTAACCATTAGATAACAATTATGTGACCTAAAAAAGTGCATCAAAATGCATACAATTGGTTGATATATTTTCTGGAGCTAAATAGTGTGGTTATTATTTGATGCATTTAATGAATCAAAGTGGAAATGGGTGATTTTTTTTTTCATATTTGAAATGCTGATAAGTTAGAACTGCATTATGTAGAATTATCCATTCTGATTTCTAGCTGCTTGAAAATGCTGTAATTAATCAAGTTTACTTTAATAAGCTTTAATGTACACCTGTTTATGGTCTTAAAGAATTATTCTTCTTTATCAAAAATATGTGATTGCAGCAATAAAAGTACTATTAAACTATAAAGTCTTGTAAAAAAAAATGTTAGAATACAAAAATCTAACCTTCTTGTGGCTTTTAAAACTTAAGCTCATAACTAGACAACTGTTGGTGAAAACTCAGAGCTTCATATAAACCATCATCACTTGACTTATACCCAAACTATATTCCTGAGGACCCTGTTCAGATCAGCTTTTAAAAAACTTTAAAAGGAAATAAAGATGAGGGTAGATGAATGTGAAAGATTAACATGTTACTAACATGCAAAGTAAATTTGCTTGAGTGAAAAATGACAATACTGTCCTTCATATAAAAAAAAACATTTTCTTAAATATACTGCATTTTTTAAAATAACATAAAAAAGGCCCCAAATGTTTATACCGCATGCATTAATATAATCTAATTCCTGTGAGCCAAATTAATACCTCAGCATCAGATCGATGTGTAGAAGGGTGGAGCACTTTTTAAGCTTTCAATGGACAAGAAATTAAGTGGACAAACTAGGAAGGCATTCTATTATAAAAACGCACAAAAGAAGGGTATGGAAAGCAACATAAATAAAGTCCCTCTAAAGAAAAGAAATGAAACGCAAACCTGAAAAGATATTAGAAGAAAATGTGCAAAACTATTGAAATGAATACTAGCACAGACTGGTGGAGCAGTTAGGAGCTTAAAATAAACAAAGCCAAACTGGTAAGCAAACTGACTCAGTTACAGCCTGTTACATTTTATGCTGTTGATCCACATTAGGGTTACTTGTGAGCAAAGCAATGATCCATGTAAACACACGCCACCTGGACCAATAGCAGTTGTTAATACGTGTTGCTACGGCGTAGAGATATTTGTCAGGAAAGGTGCACGTCGAGCTTTAAGGGAGTTACAGGGCGCAGGTCCTGCGTCAAGCTGACGCTGGAGCACAAATTTGGCTCGACTCCATAAAAAAAAAAAAAAAAAAAAAAGACGTGACAAAAAAGCAGCCTTTTCTGGAGCATATGTAATCCTCACTGATGGAGAGAAGCTGCTTCTGTCTGGGAGCGAGTGTTTGATTTTAAATGACTGTTTGTAGTCTTGACGTGCTTTGAATTTTCTGATTCTTCATCCTGCAGTGATTTCAAGTCATTTACCTGATCAGCTGCTGCTGATCTATCCGATCGACCGTCCTTATCCGTTTCTCCATCATTTCTCTCCTCCTCCTCTTCTTCATTTATCTTGGGATCTTTGACTTTGTGCACAATAAATAGATGTCTATTAAGAGAAAACACGGATGTGAAACACAGGCCGCAGTGAAGGCACTGAGGAGTGTTTTCATCCGTTTTATGCTGAGGTATATGCTGCTGGAACTCTGTACTGTCCTGTGTGACGAAGCCGCACTTTGAGCAGCGGTGCTGCATTTTAAGACGTTTAGCGGACGGAGCGGCGAGATCACTGCAACCCTGGCTGTCAGCCTGCAGGCTCCTCACAGCTGATATTATCCCCTGAAAAAAAAAATCACAGAAACAAACCTTTAAAGCAGTGATCAATACATGTTCCATTAGAATACCGACCAACAGACGCTTTTCTTCTTTTTTACACAAACCAAATTCAGTAAATGTTAGTGTTTGCAATGACATTATTTATTTGGTTTTGCTTCATTTTTTAAATCACAAAAAACAAAGAAGATAAACGTATGTATTTAAAAGCATTTAACTGAGTTATATGGCTTAAAAACGAGTTAGACACATTTTATTGTCGTTTTATATACAGTGTAAAGAAAAAGAATTTTCGTTTATATTGGCTTTCCAACTGAATTATTTTATTTTTTATTTTTCTTTGATTCTGTTTTATTTTTCTATATTTTAATCATGTAAAGCACTTTGCATTGTCTTTGTACTAAATTGTGCTATACAAATAAATTTGCCTTTGCCTTTTGCCATAAGAGAGACTAAATGCCCCGCCTCTCACTTCCCCCCAAAAATTTGATTACCACGGAGTATTAGGGCAAGGCTAGAGATTTTTTAATTTTTTGTATTTTGAGAATAAAGTCGTAATATTACAAGAGTATAGTCATAACATTACGAGAATAAAGTTGTAACATTACGAGAATAAAGTTGTAATGTTACGAGAATAAAGTTGTAATATTACGAGAATAAAGTCGTAATATTACGAGATTATAGTCGTAATATTACGAGAATTTAGTCATAACATTACGAGAATAAAGTCGTAACATTACGAGAATAAAGTTGTAATATTACGAGAATATATTTGTAATATTACGAGAATAAAGTTGTAACATTACGAGAATTAAGTTTTAATATTATGAGAATATAATCATAAGATTACGAGAATAAAGTCGTAGTATTATGCGAATGAAGTCATCATAACACAACCGGTTTTAGAAAGAAACCTTTGAGTCCACTTTGACCTACTGTCCAATTTGATGCTGGTGTGCTAAAAGATTTCCTTATTTGTCAAACCAGAGCCAAAGTATAATTTCAAATGATGCTCGACATTCCTCATTTTAGGAAAGACAGTGCTTCTTGTAAGAGTTGTCATAAAATACAACTTTATTCTAGTAATTTTAGGAGTTCATTCTCTTAATATTATGACTTTATTTCCTTAATTTTATTGCTATTCTCATGGTGACTTTATTTTCATATTTTTACTTTATTGTCTTACTGATACGACTTTATTCTCGTAATTTTACGACTTTATTCTCGTAATGATACAACTTTATTCTCGCAATTTTATGACTATTCTCCTTGTGACTTTATTCTGCAAAGCAGAACCTCGTTACAGAAAACACTTAATGACAGCTTTTGATACAACAACTTATTGGTTATGTGAGCCAATCCCTTTTTCCAATCAGGCCATAATGACTAATTTAATAAATCAAATCTTGACTTCAAGACTATCTTTCCTTTATATTTTCAAACATTTGTCTGCGAGCAGAAAATAAAGCCAAAGCTGCACTAAACCCACCTTTCCTGAAGGGTTTTTAGGTTCTGTGATGGACGATTTGGGCATCTGGCTCAGATCTGGGTTTTTAATACCATGCATGAGACTTATGTGGTTCTTCAACATCACGCTTGTTGTGAAAGTCGTCTTCGGCTCTGTGCAGTACCTACATGATAGGGATGGTAATGTTGTAATTATTTTCTGTAAAAAGGAATTAATCAGAGAGAAGAGTGTCTAACTTACCAACAGGAATAGATTCTTCTTTTGCCGTCATGTTCGCTGCGAATGTGTCTCCTCAGACTGGTGGCAGAGTTGAACGACTGCTCACAGTGGCGACATGGATATTTCCTCACTGACTGAAGTAAAAAAAAAAAAAAAAAAAAAAATCAAACATAGTTCTAATGAGGCGAGCCTGCAATCCTGCATCAATGTATTCAAAAAAGGTTTACATAACAGCTTTAAGGCAACAAAAGTCAACCTTATTGCACATGTAGGACTGTGGGATATGGATGAAAAATGTTTCACGATATGATGACTTTGATTAGTGTTTTTTTTACCCATTTGTAATTACGGTAGGATCGAGGATAAAAGTCAAACATTTAAAAAGTAATCTTAACCTTATTAAATTGTAACCTTTAACTTTTAAAAGTGGCTCAGATCTACTACCAGTCTTTTTAAAAAGACTGAATCCTATTCGTATGTCCTTCAGTAGTTCAACAGAAATACGGAAAATTTCATGTTTTGTATTTTCTATTGAGATCGATCAGGTATTTCAATAATATTTACTGATACTAATTTATTAACCAGCCTTTTTCATGCAGTATTATTAAATTATGGCGTATATTTTATTCTGTTCTGTGTTAACGTCTCTAGTGAGATGCCTGTCAAAGTGTTGGAAATAGAGCTTTTCTGCTGCTTTATATTTAACACAGTAGCATTTTACTGTGGACTGCCAGATGGATGGCTTTAAGAAGGCTACTAAACTTTACTTTCATATAAAGAAACAAGAAGTCTAGGAAAAAACAAAAAGATAAAGCAGAGCCACGGTGTAAAAACCACACTTAAACCTTTTAAGAGCTACTCTGATTAACAAATACATTTAGCAAAATAAGAGCAATGGTTGTATTAACCAGCTAATGATGGCTTGTTACACAGCCTGTTATCTGTCAAATTCTGTGGTTAAATAAAACCACAAAACATCAGAGATCCTACAGTAGAGCATCTATATACAATCACTGATAATACATTAACTAGCTAGCACCGCTAACAGCTAGGAAACTACTTTGCAATTAGCAAAAGCCACCATTCAAGTTATTCTCAAAACTGCACTCCAATCATTGCTAATGGTAATAATATCTGAAATACATTAAATTATTAAATCAAATAAAGTCAGTCGGACTGTTCAGTGCGCCTTATACTTATTTTATTTTACTTGTACTTCAAACAATACTGTTTTTACATTTTTATATTTCCTTTATATTGTAAATATGTCTAGATTTTATTGTACTTTTTTACCTCATTGTGTTGTAACTGTCCCTATGTGTAAAGCTGATGCTACACTACAATTTCTCCTTGGGATAAAGTATATCTATTTATATATATATCCATTTATTTAGCATAAGTAATTATATTTGTCTAAAAGTGATTGGGATTCAGTGAGAAAATGTGGGATTCAGGAACACCTACTTTTCCATGGCTGTTTTTCATGTGAGAGACGTAGGCCTCTCGCTCAGCAAACCACTGCAGACACTCGCCGCAGGTCCATCCTCGAGGCTTAACGGCAGATTTGGCGTCCTGCTCTGACCTTTTTCTTGGGCTATCGATGAGTTTACGGGGAACGTGACTCTTCTCCTGCTGGACAGGATGAGACCCTGGGCACCCATCAGTCCCCTCTATTTCTTTAGTGTCCTTTTCCATCTCTGCTGTCAGGTTTCCAATATGAACACCCTGCACAATGACAAAGATAAGGGACAGAGGAGGGGACTTAAAAAATGGTAAAGGCAACATCTTATACATTATGATGTATTAAAAGGTACAATAGATCTGGTAACAAGAAGGAGCAGCTCCTACTGAAAACTTATTTTTTCTCTCATTCATACAATTTACACTATTCAAAAAAGTGTATTGCTTTTAAAATATAAACATGAAGGAAAATGCTTGCAACCTTAAAAAACAATAGGGAATTTATCTGGAACCAACCTTAAAGTGTTGCATTAAAAGCCGCTTTTGTGGAAAGACCGAGTTGCATTCTGGACACTTAAACACACACGTGACTCGCTTGTTGGCATTTTCATGAAAATGTTGGAAAAAAAGGTGTTTTTTCTTGAAAAGTGCCTTACAGGAACACTTAAAAACCAACCTGCAAATAGAGAAAAAAAAAGGGTAATAACAACCTTTAAATGAGACGTAGAACTTTTAGCTGTCAGGTCGTTTCTTGTTTACTTACTGAGGTGTTTGTTTACTAGATCTATGTTTATTTTTCAAGTGTGCTTCACAGCCGTCAGAAGTCTTAAAGGCGACAGGACAGACGGAGCATTTGTAAAAGACTTCTAAGTGTTTCTCTTCGATGTGAGACTTCTGTCCTTGTAGGGTTCTGAAAACCACATCACAGTGAAGACATCTGGAGGAAAACATAAGAACAACCATTATAACACCTTACTGTATATTTTAAAAGCAATTTAGACCTTAATTGTTTGTTTTTTTATTCTACGTACTTGTACCAAGCTTTGCGAGCATAATGCAGACAGTTTTCCTTGACGTGCTTCTGTATGTCAGCAGAACGACTCAGGGCACCGCACTCAGGACAGCAGTAGGGCGATTTGTGGGCGTGGAGGCGCTGGTGAGCTCTGAAGCTACACTTGTTGGGTAGCAACATTGAGCATACCTTACAAATCTGTGACGATGAAAAACAAGGAAAGGAGGTTGGGTATATTACCTTGTTTGAGACAAGAGAAATGGCACTCAAAAAAATCACTGCAAAAAATATAAATCTAAGCAAGTCAATTTTTCTTAAAATAAGTGCATTTTTTTGCTTTAATTGAACAGATAAGGGAGACACTGTCAATGGAATAAGAAAATTTTAATTTAAAATGAGAAAAAAAAACTGCAGTCTCTCATTTAAAGTGCATAATATCTAGTGAGGATAAAAGGATAAAATACTAATTCCATTGGCAGATCATCTTATTTGGTACTCAAATTAAGGTTAAATACCTGAAATAATTACTCATTTACGGTAGATCATTTTTGTGGTGAAAATAAAGTCTACCAACATTTTTATAAAGAGGAACTTTCAAATCTACAAAACCTTTTTTATTATACCATCCATCCAGTTGTTTCTCTATAAGATATGTTAGAGAAGACGGATCAGAGTTCTGCGCTGTGCAGACGAACAATCCTGGCCCAGCTGCAGCTGAGCACTGCAAGGAAGCTGGCTAAAAGAGGGCTATTATGCTTTTCCACACATCTAGATACATTAAATGTTCTGGCTCTTGAAAACTGCAGACTGTCAAGTGGATAAAAAGGGGTTACTATAGGCCTTATTGAGGTGAGCTAGATTTAAAACTACTATTAGCAGGAAAAAGAACAATTTCCAGTTCAGATGCTAACTACAGTTTGTTTTTCTGTCTTAAATAAAAGCGCTTGCATCAAGTTTGAGTTGTTTTTTTGTTTTGTTTTTTTAAACCACTTCATATAAGAGCTTTAGTTTTTGCTTTGAACTAACATCTACTTCCTAAGTTAAAAGTCTTGCTCTGCCTTTCAAACTTGATCAGTTTTAATTGACCTTAATTTCCAAACTGTGGAATAAAGATATCTTTATTAGATTCTTACTTACATAAACAGACATTATGCACTGTGATTTTTTTACAGCCCATTTACTCACCAGCCCTTCCACATCTTCTGATATCTTCTGGTAATGACCTGCCAGTTCCTTATAGTCAGCCACCTGCTTGTTGCACTCCAGACAACGGAGTCTGTGTGGAATGACATTATCTGGATGTAAGGGCATGACGGGTTCGTTTATTGGGGGGAGTGACTGAGAGGTGTTTGGGCCTTGCTCTTGGCTCAGAGGTACAAACATCTGCTCCTCTGATATGGGCTTCAGATGGAGCTGTGTACACTGCATCACACTGCCGCTGTTTTTGTGCTCCCTTGCATGTGCCAACAGCGCACACCTGTTAAAGAACACCAGGCTCTTTGCGCAGTGTGTGCACCCTACTTCAATCTGAACACTTCTCCTGTTGTAATGAAACGCCAGACTCTTCTCGACAGCGAAAGAGTCCCCACACTCCAGGCAGCAATATCCATGAGGTGGAAGGTTGATGCTGCACTCTGCTGGGGGGTTCAGGTTAGGCACGTATATAGGCACTGGGTTGGCACTGGTTAAAAGCCTGTTTAGAGTTCCTGCTGCTGTGTTCGGAACAGACGAACGGGGCAAAGGGTTGGCTGCTTTCACCTGATGAACCAGAGGGACGGAGCTGCACACTGCAGAGGAAAGGATGTGTGGACTCTGCTGATGGGATGAGGGCCGGGCAGCTACAGAGGCAGCCACGCTATGAGGGACCAGGTTCAGACTAGCTAGGTGCATCGCTTTAGGAAGGAAGCTTGTATTGGATGTATGACCTGTTGCACATGACGCCCTTTTTACTTTCTGTGCTTTGTGGCCAGCAGACCGCTTAACGGCACGACCGCCGCCTTGGGACTCCTTCCTAAAGCGTCTTGGCTTTTCCTCAGGCCCTCTGAGTGTTTTCGGTGAAGATGTGCATGCTGGGTTAGTCCCAGGACTACAATCGACAGCTTGAGACTGACGAGGGGACACAGAGTATGAATCTTCGCTGATCATGCTCTGCGACGGGGAGGATTCATAAGCAGAATGAATGTCGTCGGTTTCTGAGTCGGGCAGCACGCTGGTGACCGTGCGTTTGATCTGACCAGTAGTGGTTTTAATCGTCTTGATCCTGACTCTGGGTATTGCTGGGGACGACACAGGCGCCACCGCAGGGGATGTTTTACCGCTGCTGTCACTACAGATGCTTACAGGGCTATCAGAGGGTTTCATTAACCGTTTTACTGTTTCAGTTGGACTTCTAGGGCTTCTTGGGGATATAGGTGCCATGTTTCTATCTTTGACACAATCACTGTGAAATGCTGGTGATTCTTTAGGATTATTTTCCCCTTCGGGTTCCTTTTTAGCATTTGGATCAACTGGGGCCTCATTAGAGAAGGGAACTTCAGACTTCTCAGAAGTATTAGAGGCAGCGACACTGGCTGTGTTTTCAGATTTGCATCCTGTCTCTATGAAGCTCTTGTCACTGCTTACGGAGGGAATTGGTGTTTGACTGCTGACACGGATATCAGAGAGATTATTACTTCTTCTGTTTTCTGTTGTGGATTCTTGAGTGTTCCTGGGAGATGCATCAAACAAGCAAAGATTTGATTTTTGTTCTCTGCCTGGAACCAAAGGTTCAAGCAAAACCCGAGCTTCGGGAAAACAGAACCTATCTGCTTTTGAAACCTTTTTGTCTTTGCTACACACCTTGTCTTTCTCTGGAGTGGAGACGGGACTAAAATGGGAAAGTGATGGAGATAATCCTGGTGCTTCTTCAGGTTTCTGATGAAGTAGGGTTTCTCCACAAAGCTCTCTTGGGCCCTCTCCATTCAAACCAGCCTTAAATGAACAGGAAAGATCTGGGCTAGTGGGCTCCACAGGCTTAACACAGGCCTCTTCTCCCTTGAATCCATTCTGCAAAGCTGGTGCTAAATGAAGCTGATCGCTGAGATCTTCCAATGACTCTTGGCGACTTGTGTTTTTCACAATAACACTAACTAGAGGAATATCTGCTCCAGTGACAGCAGAGTTACTGAGTAAGCCCTCATCCAGACACATTACTGAGTTTTTTAGATGACTATCTATCTCCTCTTGGCTTCCCTGGATGGGTTCCTTAGAATCCAGTCCGGGGGCATCTGGGATATCAAAAGCTGCCAGAAGATCATCAAAATCTGGGGTCTTCATGTCACCCATGTCTGTGCATTCTCATAAACCTGGAAAAAGACATCCAACACAGACATCACAACACAAAACAAGAACCATTCCACCTTCACATTCGTTTCAACATATTACACTTCGAAACTATAAACCTACTTTTCCCGTAAAAACAAAACATATTTTCTGCTAATGATAGCATTAGCTACAAAGCCAACCCGATTATTTCGCTTTAAATTAAACAGAACGTACGAGAAACAGACATGCTTAAAAAAAAAACATAAGCAAAAATCACTTATTGGACGTAAAAGTATAAACTGGTGGAGGTGAGTTGGCTAATAGCATCTGGCTAAAACGGTTCGGAGCTAAGCTAGCTGACAAGCAACAACACGCTAATGCGAAAACAATAACGCTAAGCACTACATATTTGACTTGTCTATTAAAATCCCTCTTACCATTTAACTGGGTTCGCCCAAAGACTGCGAAAAGTACTATTTAGCTATTTTAATAGGGGCATAAAGTTCCTACTGCTTTAGGATATCATAGCTAAGCTAAGCTAGCCGCGGCTAACGTCAACTTGGTTGGTTTTCACTTTTCCGTTGAGGGTATTTCGAGCCCTCTTGGGTGTCTTACAGGCCAAACAGGGAACTGACTGCATCAGGAAATTATTTTTTAAAATGAGAAGGGATGGCTTAGAAAACAGTTACTTTCTACCTTCCCACAAAATGCTAAAACAGATTATTAATTTTACGAATACACAGAATTAGGTAAGCAAGAGTGAGCATATGAAACTATGGTCCTCTGAGTTAATAAGTTCTTAAGCTACCAGAGAAACAAAAAGCTCAAAGACAAAGTTGTTAGTCAAGATTTAAAATCGAACATAATCAACCTAAAAATAAATTTTACTCATTAAGTATGCGATTTATCTCGTTATATATATTATATTTAAAATTTAATTTAATACACTTAAATGCTTAAAAATATGTATTTTAAAATCCCCACAGGCTGTGGTGAATTGAGATATAAAACGTTTATTGGTGATTTATTAATCATCTAATCATTTTTACCCCTGAGTACATTTAAATAGGACATCAATATTTAAAAGTCAAGAAGGAGTTTTTAGTAATAAGAGATATAGAGATCCAGAGATATTTATCATTAATAAAACCAGGTTGCAGGTTCGAATGGCCCTAAGCAGCTTGTTTGGACTCAGACTTAGAATAACAGTGAGAAAATCTGACATTTTAGCTTGGTTTGGAGTCACCAAATTTTACTAATTTAGTGCTGTCACCTTAGATGGTGTAGGTTTTAGAAAAAAAGTGTTCCCTTGATTCTCAGAGGTGTTTCAGACAAATCCCAAAGGGAAATTACCACTAAGTAATCCTTCTAGGTTTTGACAGCCTCAGGAAAACTCATTTTTGAGATGGATGTTGGAACCAGATATGGTTCCAACATATCTGGTTGCATTGTTAATGCAATCATCCAAGAAGATAATCCTAGATGCCTTTATATATGCTAATACCATTTTTTATTCTTAAGTTCAACAATGGATGGAGAAACTATTGCGTTTCGATCAAAATCGAGTAGTGAGACATAACCTGCCAGACATTGCTGAGGGAATAATGATCAAGGTGTCTTTCCCGCTAGTCACACCACAACACTTCCAGTTCAATGGAAACAGACAAACTTTTCTGAATAATTGCATTAAAGCTATAGTGATCATGCTAAGTTAACAGAGCCATTAGTTGTATATTAGGTATACAGGATTTTAAACACATAAGTTAATAATTATCCCAATTTTGTCATTTTTCCTCTTAACACATGCACAGCAGTGGTCATAAATTAACTTTTGCATTTAAAGTTTAAAAGTTTGTACATGACATCAGAAGAATAACTTAAAAAGTATCTGGAGTTGCTGAACCTGAGTTTAATGTTTCTTTTGCTGAAACTGCTATCAGGTCATTAATCTCATGTAATCCAAATTTCAGCAATTCAGAGACGCTAAATACTAATCAGACAACGCTAAGTGCCAGTTTTTAAGCATGAACAATCTTTTAATATGTTCTCCCACAAAGACTGCTTCCACATTTTAACCACGAAAATGGACCCGCACGGCAACCATGTATAAATATTAGTGCCATGCCCAACATTTCGTCGGGTAATGAACTGTGCAATAGGTGCATTCTGCTAACAAATGACTTTTATGAGGCAGAGTAATGTTATAATCAAAGCACAGAAGAAACTGCGACAAGCCTTAAAAAACAAAATAAAAAAAATAATTTCCCTTAAGCCTTTACACATTTGACTTCATATTGACCATCACATGTTAAATATATTTTAATGGGGTTTTATATGATTGGCTAACAAAAATGAACTGTGAAGTGGAAGGAATATTACACTTTTTATTTATTTATTTTCAGAATAGTCTGAAAAAAGCGGTGTGGATTTCTATCAAATCTCCTGATTTAATAGATCACTTTTTTTAGTTATAGCTGCAAGTCTTTTGAGGTGCGTGGATTAGATTTACATATAGGTCTTTTCTACCAAAGAGATATGGGTCAATCATTTAATCAAAAAAAAAAAAAATTTTTTTTTTTTT